GTGTATAATGCCTCCTTGTTTCCATGGTGAACAGGCCACAGCCACCTTCTCAACCATGTCACAGATAAAAGGTGTGGTGATAGACAATATGAGCACCAAAATCCTGTTTATTGCAGGAATACCTCCTAGACCTGTTACTACTATATGTTCTAAATTATTGCCTAAACTGTGCCACCACGAAGTCTCCTCTAGATAGCAGAAGAGATTTTGACAAAGGACAGTAAGATGGTTTAGTGTTTTAGGGCACTTCCTGACAAGCCTGATGAACAGAGTTCAATCCCCAGGTCCCACACTGTGGAAGAAGAGGTCTTCAAGTTGTCTTCTGACCACTGGACAGTCACTTATATACACAACAAGTGCTGAAAAATGTAATTTTAAACAGCACACACACAAGAAACTATTTCAAACAATAGTGTCAAGTTTATAGTATTCAAGCCTATAAGCTGTGGGGCTGGGCCTTTTCCTCCTCATAGGAACTGGAGATAAATGAAGCTAAGATAGCGGAAATAAAGACTTAGCTTCTTCTTTCTAGGACTCAACAAGAAAGATGCCAGTCGAGAAGAGAATGGAGTGGACCTCAAGGCAAGAGGAGTAAGCACAGCTGAGGCCACGGGCACCCAGTAAGGGCAAGGCTCCATGTTCTGAGAGCACATGAGGAGGACTCAGGGTGCCCCCGGTGCCAGTCACAATCCCAAACGTCATCACCCGAACTCCCTAACTCTCTCAGAACCTCAACATTTTAAAACACTGAAAGTCATAAATCCTAAGCCTTGAGATTGGAAAAGATCTGAATTCTAAAACTTCCAAAAATCACAATCCTGAAAGATTAAAATCCCACATGATTAAATTCTTAAATCCCCCAGAGGTGCTATGCTAGGGGACACTTCCAGAGCACGAGTGAAGAATGAATCCTTAAGAAGGGACTGGCCACACTACACAGCAGTTCTCTGCACTGCCCGTGTAGGTAACATCTGCCAGGAGCTTTCAGTGAATTAAGACCATTGTTCAGTCTGAAAACATGAGACGACACTTAGTGATTGGTAAATCTCTAGAGTAGTGTGTGTGTGTGTGTGTGTGTGTGTGTGTGTGTGTGTGTGTCCAGGTGTGTGTGCAGCATTGTGCAGTGTTCACAACCACAACCACACATGGCACAGAGAGGAAAATCATAGAAGTGTTTGTGTTGGTGGACATGGAACTCCACCAGAAGCCCCACGTCAGAAGTGACATCAGTGAAGCTGTAGAGATGGCTCAGTGGTTAAGAGCACTTGATATGCTTGCAGGAGACTCGGGTTCAATTCCCAACACCCACGAAGTGGTTCACAACCATCCATAAGCCCAGCCCAACAAGCAGGCATATACATGGTGCACATGCATGCAGGCAGGCAGGCAAACATTCACATACATAAAGTAAAATCAATAAATGTACAAATTTTTTAAAGAAGCCAAAGTGTTCTCCAAGCAGATCCACACCCTGCCAAATAGCAGGAATGTGTCAAGATGCAAGACTTCGAAATAACAGTCATGAAAGCTGGACACCTACCAGGACTTACTTCCTGTTTCTGTCAGCATACCTGTTCTATTTGTTGCAGACACAGGCATCTTGCCTGTGGTCCTTTATGACTGGTAGCTTAGACTAAGCTTGGTATTTTTTTAATATTTTTATTGACTTTTATTGAGCTCTACATTTTTCTCTGCTCCCTTCCCTGCCGCTCCCCTTCCCTTCAACCCTTTCCCAAGATTCCCATGCTCCCAATTTACTCAGGAGATCTTGTCTTTTTCTACTTTCCATAGATCTAATCTACATAGGAAGCTTGGTATTTTCAAGGTTCATCTGTGGGTGGAGCATATATCTGTACTTCTATTTGTGGGTGGAGAACTATCCTACTGTGTGGCTAGACCACATCTTACCCATCCATTTATCCAGCGATGACCATTCGGGCTATTACCCTCTTCAGGCAGTGACAGGACACGTTGCTATAAACGCTCAAGTAGAACATATGTGCTCATTTCCCTGGGGCATACACGCAGGAGCAGAGTTACTGAGACACTCGGTAGCTTGTGCTTCTGTGCTGGAGGAACCCCAGACCAGATTTCAAGTTGACCGTACCCCTTTGCATTCCTGTCTGGGTCTGGATTTTTCCACATCTTCTCAAGCACTTGTTATCTGAACTTTGAGTCCCACATGGTTATTTTTAATGCTCTCTTTTCCCTTGTTAGAAAGATTTACATCTTCACTCTGTGTTTTCAATACTATTGTCCAGGATTGCCTAACTTTACCTTTTCCATTACAAAATTTTGTGCCTGTCTCTAAGAGACAGAACAAAGACGGCCTTTGTCAATCTCCTGCAATTGCCCTCATTCTCTGAGCTTGTCCAAATGTCACCAGTTCTCAAAGATCACTCTGCACCAGGGAAACAAAAGAGCCACTTGTGTCTTTTTCTTCCACATTAAAACCAAAGCTGTCACGGAAAAGGGTTCTCAAAGTATGGATTCTTTCTTTTCAAAAAAAAATGATGAATCAATTTTGGTTACTTCCCATGAATTCTTTGGTTTTTCTATATTTTTCCTATGTGTGGTTAAATGTGACATATCACAGAATACAAAGTCAATATTTAACCAGATTATGCAACCCCAAATTCAATAGAGTATATTCAGCTAATTCTTTTGCATTTTAAATACAGGATCTAATCTATGTGAAATCATATTCTGTTCTAATAATCTAACATCAAAAGTTTTTCATCAAATTCAGGTTTTAAGTAAGAAAATTAAATTAAATTTGATAAAAAATTAATATTTTTATCAAAAATTGGTTGATGGAGACTGGAACACTAGCTCAGTGGCTAAAAGCACTGACTGCTCTTCCATACGGCCCAGATGGGTTCCCAGCACCAACATGGCAGTTTGCAGTCGTCTGTAACTCTAATTCCAGAGCATCTGATGCCCTCTTCTGACCTCCTCAGGCACTGCACACATGTGGAACGCATACACATATGCAGGATGAGTAATCATACACATGAAATAAAATAATCTTAAAATATTATTACTATTATTTGAAGATTTGATGTGTATGAGTGTTTTGCCTACTTGTGTGTATATGTACCAGGTGACTGCCTGGTGCCCACACAGACCAGAAGAGGGCATCAGATTCCCTGGAATTGGAGTTACAAATGATTGTGAGCTGCCATGTGTGTGTTGTAAGTCCTCTGCAAAAGTTGACCACTCATAACCACTGAAGCACCTCTCCAGATTTTAAAAAAGAAAATTCAATTAATCCTTCTGACAATTTCAAAACAGAGCATAACAACCTTTATTTCATTGCTATGTCAGTCTAATTTTATGATTCTGTACAACCTAAAACTGAGCAACGGACACTGTGAGCCAAAACCTCCTTCCTTCATAGATAAATTGAGAGCCGGAAATTAAACAAAACAAACTTGTGAAGAAAGAAGCTCAGGTCCACTCGGGTGCCTTTAGCCTGGTGGCTGAAGTCTATCTTCCTAAAGCATGGAGGACACAGGAGTTACAGTTAAAGGTATGTGTGACTTCTCAACGCCTCCATGTGCCTTCGGTATCATTTACGTGGGTCAATTGTTGAACCATTCATTCATTGCCAGAGCACCAGACTCTTCCACATTCAGAGTGAAAATACAAATATATGCATGAGCAAACACAATCTCAATCATCTCCCATTTTGATTATCTAATTAAAACCCAAACACTCCTTACCTCAGCAGACTTAAAATGGTCTGTATATGCAACTGCACATAGAGGGCATCCCAACCCTTCTAGAGAGAGCGACAGAGTACATGTGGATATCCCACCCAATGCCTAAATCTAAGACTATTTTATTTTCTCCAAGTTCAAGTCTAGTTCCAGTCCTCTGGACATCATCCTCCAGAGAGCTGGGAAAGTACCACGTGCTAATTCACCATAAAGATCTCTCTCTCTCTCTCTCTCTCTCTCTCTCTCTCTCTCTCTCTCTCTCTCTCTCTCTCTCCTCTCCCCCTCCTCTCTCCTCTCTCTCCACTGAAATTATTTATTTACTTACTTGTTTTGGATTCCCACATGCCAAGGAGACAGGGGAAAGCTGGCAAGGCCCCAATCCTAAAGCAAGACAGTCAATGGCTGCTGAGAGAGGGAGACTCGTGTCTCCAGGAAGAAACCCTTGACAAGTTATCTAATGCCAAGAGGCAGCTCATTATTCTTTTTTTATTTTTTTTATTGAGAATAAGAAAAAAAAGTTTCCGCCTCCTCCCAGCTTCCCATTTCCCTCCCCCTCCCCCCACTCCTCTCCCCCTCCCTCTCCTATCCAAAGAGCAGTCATGGTTCCCTGCCCTGTGGAAAGTCCAAGGTCCTCCCCCCTCCGTCCATGTCTAGGAAGGTGAACATCCAAACTGGCTAGGCTCCCACCAAGCCAGAACATGAAGTAGGATCAAAACCCCTTGCCATTGACCTTGGCTTCTCATCAGTCCTCATTGTTCGCCATGATCAGAGAGTCCGGTTTTATCCCATGCTGTTTCAGTCACAGTCCAGCTGGCTTTGGTGAGCTCCCAATAGATCAGCCCCACTGTCTCAGTGGGTGGGTGCACCCCCCGTGGTCCTGACATCCTTGCTCGTGTTCTCCCTCCATCTGCTTCTCATTGGGACCTTGGGAGCTCAGTCCAGTGCTCCAGTGTGGGTCTCTGTCTCTATCTCCATCCATCACCAGATGAAGGTTCTATGGTGATATGAAAGATATTCGTCAGTAATGCTATAGGATAGGGTCAGTTCAGGTTCCCTATCCTCAGCTTCCCAAGGGACTAACTGGGGACATCGCCTTGGGCTCCTGGGAGCCACTCTAGGTTCAAGTCTCTTGCCAACACTAAGGTGGCTCTTTTAACTAAGATATGTGCTTCCCTGCTCCCCTATCCAACCTTCCTTTATCCCAATCTTCCTGTTTCCTCAAGTTCCCCCAATCCTCCCCTTCTTACTTTTCTCTCCCTGTCCCCCCTTATCCCCACCCCACCCCCAAGATCCCAATTTTGTCCCCGGCAATTTTATCTACTTCCCTTAGGCAAGAGGATAACTATATGTTTTTTCTTGGGTTCACCTTCTTCTTTAGCTTCTTTAGGTTCACCAGGTATACACTCCGTGACCTTTATTTATGGCTAGAAACCAATTATGAGTGAATACATCCCATGTTCATCTTTTTGGGTCTGGGTTACCTCGCTCAGGATAGTGTTTTCTATTTCCATCCATTTGCATGCAAAATTCGAGAAGTCATTGTTTTTTACCGCAGCATAATACTCTAATGTGTATATATTCCACACTTTCTTCATCCATTCTTCCATTGAAGGGCATCTAGGTTGTTTCCAGGTTCTGGCTATTACAAATAATGCTGCTATGAACATAGTTGAACAAATGCTTTTGTCATATGATAGGGCATCTCTTGGGTATATTCCCAAGAGTGGTATTGCTGGGTCCAGGGGTAGGTTGATCCCGAATTTCCTGAGAAACCGAAACACTGATTTCCAAAGTGGTTGCACAAGATTGCATTCCCACCAGCAATGGATGAGGGTACCCCTTCCTCCACAGCCTCTCCAGCAAAGGCTATCATCGGTGCTTTTGATTTTAGCCATTCTGACAGGTGTAAGATGATATCTCAAAGTTGTTTTGATTTGCATTTCCCTGATTGCTAATGAGGTTGAGCATGACCTTAGGTGTCTTTTGGCCATTTGAACTTCTTCTTTTGAGAATTCTCTGTTTAGTTCAGTGCCCCATTTTTTAATTGGGCAGCTCATTATTTTAAAGTCTTTAGGTAGACAGAGCATCCACACAAGGACATCTAGTGGCAACCACGACCCACTGCAATTACTACCCTCTTGTCAGCCCTCAGTCTTCCTTGCCATTGTTTAAGGACCAAAGTGAAATTTGGACCCTGAAATCTGGACAGTAAACACAACAACAAATGAAAACACTCAAATAAAGCAAAGTATTCAAAGAGAATCCTCTTTTTTCCACAATAACAGAATCCCAGGCTTAGAGTTAAGACTCAGAAGTAAAAAAAATAGTTTGACAGAAATTAATCTTTCTAGAACCATTAAAGATTACAATAAACTAATTATCCTTTATGTTGTAGAACATTAATTTTAATAGCTCTGCTTTATAAAGAGACATGACCATAATAAGGAAATTAATAGAAAACTAATGACGCATGCACAGTTGAGATTATTAAAATGAAATAACAGTGAATCCTAATTAAACTACTCAATATCCTTAAGATATTTTATGTACCTTTTATATAAATTATTTGCTTCTTTAAAATGTGGTGAAGAACTGGAGAGGGCTCAGTGGCTAAGAGTAATGGCTGCTGTGCCAGAGGGCTGGGGAATGCTTCCCACACCCTGGAGGCTCACAAGCCGCTTCTAACCCCAGCAGCAAAGGATTGGTGTCCTTGCCTGGACTCCTCCCTGCCAGCACACAGAGAGGTATTCACATTCTCCCTCTCAGGAAGAGAGGGAGAGAGGGGGAAAGACAGAATAAAAATAAAATGCAGTGGAAATTGATCAAAAATTAGAATCCACTATAAATACTGACTTCCCCATTTTCTCTCAAGCTGGTGAAGGAAAAACAACTGCTTTTGCTGTTCTTCTTGTTTCTATCCAGGGAATCCTAGACAGCTAGAGAAGGAAACATGGAAGGATGGGCATTTCTATCTTTACTTGAAAGGTGACTGTTCCGAGGACAAGAGGAGGCTGACACTCAGGAGGGTGAAATGCTCCAGGTCATCCCAGGCACCCAAAAACAATAAACACATTTTTATTCATAGTTTTTTTTGTTGTTTTTATTGAGGTTATATATTTTTCTCCACTGCCCTCCCTTCTTCTCCCCTCCAATTCTGCCCTCTCCCATGGTTCCCATGCTCCCAACTTACTCAAGAGATCTTGTCCTTTTCTACTTCCCATGTAGGTTAGATCCATGTCTCTTAGAGTCCTCATCGTTGTCTAGGTTCTCTGGGATTGTGATTTGTAGGCTGGTTTTCTTTGCACCACCACACCTAGCTACATTTTGTATTTTAGATTAATTATTGGCCTTAATCATTTCAAAAGAGCAGCTGGGGCTTTGATTAAATAGAAACTCTTGATGGGTATTTGAGGCTTTCAACATGTAAACACCATTGGGATCTCCATGGCAATGCTTCCAGCTCCTTCTTGATGCTCATTTTCAGTCCCGATGTTTATCATTTTTCCCTAATAATTCACCATGTATTCCCAGTTTGGACTGACATTAAGGATGACTTGTATACTTTGAGTCAGTTCACGCTTAATGAAAACACTAGAATTAGTCTCGGGATTACTGTCTTATTATTAGACAATCTTTGTATTCTTGTTTTCATGGTAATGCCCTTTCTGGCTGATCCAATGCTGCCTTTCACTCTCAGCACTCCCTCCTGATAAAAAGATTTATTTTTATTGAGGAAGATTAAATTGTTAAACATCTTTCTGCTCACTCCCAAATCACAAGTTAATCCTGCTTTTGTGCAACTTACTCACATATACTGAATTGTATAGTATATGATAAAAGATTTGTGTGCTATGTGTATATAATTACTGTACATAACAATCACATTAAACCATGCTGATGTTTAGGCCACTGAATAACTTGGCTAAGTAGGCAGAGAAAGAGCAGTCAATGGTTACCTGAAACTAAACAGAGAAGATTGGTGAAATGTATAATATGCTAATACATTTTAATGAGAAGGGCATGGTAGTTGTGAGAAACTGCTTATAAGAATTCATTTGAGGGGCATCAAGATGGTTATGCAGGCAAGGACACTCGCTGCCAAGTCTGGTGAGTTCAATTCCTAGAATCCTCATAATAGAAGAAGAGAACCAGTTCGTGAAAGCTGTCTCTGATCTTCCCATGTGTGCTGGGATATGTGCACCATACATAAATATAAGTTGTTTCAAAAACCGTTTGAGTAGGAAGTCTACATTTCTCAGTGTTTTCTCTTACATTTTATCTCAAAACATTTCATCTGCCTATATTTTTTCTCAAATGTCAATATCCAACACTAATCATAGGTAGATTTTTTTTTGCTTTACAATCAAAGGTTGGATTAGACTTTGGATGCATGCAAACTAACAAAGCCATAACTATGCAATGTAACCCAGCCTTGAACTCTTGATACTCCCTGTCTTTACCTCCTGTGTACCAGGATTATTGGAATAGACTGCCAAAGCCCAGCTATATTCCCTTTATCAGAGAACTCTTACCTCATAATTTCTCTCAAATAAAGAACAAAATCTATGAGTGATTTGCTGTTATTCTTGCAGCACATTTTATTTATCATTATTTTGTACCTTAAAATACCCTACAAAAATCTGAAACCAATAAACACATATAACAAAATTATGAGATATCAATAATGATACATTCCCAGGAAAATTCAAGACACAAATACAAAAGAGATGAAGGATCCAGAACATATACGTGTATATATATGCATGTGTGTATGTATGTGTACACTGAGGTATATATGTGAGATGGAGGTGGGTCTTGTAATAATAAAGAAACTGCCTCGGCCCTCATAGGACAGAAAATTAGGTAGGCGGAGTAGACAGAAGAGAATTCTGGGAAAAGGAAGCTGAGTGAGAGAGTCGCCATGATGCTCCCACGCCAGACAGATGCAGGTTAAGATCCTCCCTGGTAAGCCAGCTCGTGGGCTACACAGAATATTAGAAATGGGTTAGAACAATATGTAAGAGCTAGCCAATAAGAAGATGGACCTAGCCGGGCCAGGCAGTGTTTGAAAGAATACAGTTTCC